ACCTGCGGGCACAGCCAGGCCTCCTGCGTCCCGCTGGCCTCGCACACCTGGCTCGGACCCCTCCCTCGGCCCGCAGCCTGGGCTGCGTCCCCTGGGGCTGTGTCTCCCAAGGCCCATTTCCCAGAGACAGCTGCCTCACTCCCACCTCAGCGTGGAGAGGAGCCCCTCAGGGCCGACCCACAGATAACCCTGACCTTTGACCTAAGCCTCCAGAGCTAAGAGGCAACGGATGTATGAATTCCTCACCACAGCCCAGGGGCCGCTGCAGGACCGGCCACCGCCACGGGCCACCAACCCTGGTCACGCCCTAGTCTCCTTCCCCACGCAGACGGGGAGGCCTCTGGGGCACGAGGGAGCCCCGACTCAGCGAATGCGGGGCCATGCAGAGGAAGCAAAAACACGAGAGACCACCCAGGCCTAATGCTCCACTTCACAGACGGGAAGACAGAGGCCAGAAAGGGAGGGGGCTTCACAAGGGGAGTGTGAGCGCAGGAGCCCAGGCCACAGCCCAGCCCTCTACACACACACACACACACACACACAGTGTCACCTTGCCCCCCCACACACACTCCATCACTCATACACACTCCATCACTCACACACACACACTGTCACTCACACACACACACTGTCACCATGCCCCTCCACACTCCATCACTCACACACACAGTCACTCACACATACACACTGTCACTCACCATGCCCCTCACACATTGTCACTCGCCGTGTCCCCCCCACACTGTCACTCACCATACCCCCCACTCACTGTGTCACACACACACACTGTGTCACACACACAGTGTCACTTACAATGCCCCACACACACTGTCACACACACACACTCACACACTGTCACTCACTGTGCCCCACACACTCACTGACTCACTGTGTCACACACATACACACTCACACACTGTCACTCACCATGCCCCCCACACACATTGTCTCACACACACACACTGTCACTCACTGTGCCCCATACACTCACTGTGTCATACACACACACACACTGTCACTCACCCTGCCCGCTCCATGGCATCCACTGCACTTGTACCGCCCACGCCCGTGGCATTTGTGACATTCCTGAAAGTGAAACGCCATCTGTGGACCCAGTGCCACCTCTCCCACCACGACGCCATCATCATCTCCAGAAGGGCTGCAGGTGAGGTTGGGCTTGGAGAGGGCGCTGGGGGGGGGGGGTTCCAGGAGGCCTGGAGAGGGCACTGGGGGGGGTTCCAGGAGGCCTGGAGCGGGCGCGGGGAGGGTTCCAGGAGGCCTGGAGAGGGCACGGGGGGGGGGGGGTCCCGGGTGGCTGGAAAAGGCGGGGGGGGGTTCCTAGGAAGCCATAAAAAGGGCCGTTTTTGGGGTAATCGGACGAACTGCAAGCCCTCATGAGGGGGATCCAACGCGTCAGGGGCGCGGGGGGGTTGGGGGCCTTCTCGGTGAACCTAGGACTTCCTTACTAGCGTATATAATGTCTTTTACAGAAAGGTTGGAGTAACATCAGACTGGGACAATTCTTCTCGGGGAAGTTCCAAGAATGGTGACTTGGTAGACGGTTGTTTAGTAATATGTCAAATGATGAGAAGTGGCGTAAGTGGGATTCAAGAGATAACGTCGGGTGATGG